AACATATCGGCATCAGTGTACTAGCTAGCATTGTTGTGAGAGGCTGCATTTGGCTTCAGTGAATTTTTTTTTTTTGAAATTCTTTCAACATGTTTGCTTATTTCTCTCTTTCCTCTCTTTCTTTCTTTTTTTAGATTGGAAAATCTAGTTTACTTAGAAAGTTAATTAGAGGCCGGGCTTGGTGGCTCAGCCTGTAATTCCAGCACTTTGGGAGGCTGAGGTGAGTGGATTGCCTGAGCCCGTGGGTTTGAGACGCACCTGGGCAACTTGGCGAGACCTCATCTCTACAATAAGTCAAAAATTAGCCAAGCGGGGTAGCGCTTGCCTATAATTCCAGCTACTTGGAAGGCTGAGGCGGAAAGATCACTGGAGCCCAGCAGGTTGAGGCGGCAGTGGCCGCGAGCGGCCACTGCACTCCAGTCTGGATGACAGAGTGAGACTCCAATTAAAAAAAAAAAAGTAGATTAGAGAGAAGAGATTCACCTTACCAAGGAAGGGGAGGAGGACACCATGACCCGACCTGACCAGTGCTCAAAGAGCCACTTGGCCACACCAGAGTTTAACATGGTTGCCTATTTCATGATGGGTGATAGATACACACAAACAACCTGCCTACACTACACTGAGTGTTCAGTCGTTTGTGACCAAAAACTTGAACCACTGTGCCTGGCCCTATTTTTATTTTTAAATTTAATTTAATGTTACTGTTTTGGAGTTGTAGGTCTTATTTTGTTGCCCAGGCTAGAGTGCAGTGGCATGATCATGGCTCATTACAATCTTGAACTCCGGGACTCAGGTGGTCCTTTTGCTTCAGCCTCTGAGTAACTGGGACTACAGGTGTGCACTACCACACTTGGCTAATTTTGGTTTCTTGTGAGGTATTGCTGTGTTGCCTAGGCTGGTTTTGAACTCCTGGGCTCAAATAGTCTTCTCGCTTCAGCCTCCCAAAGTTCTGAGATTACAGGCATCAGCCGCCACACCACGCTGTTGTTTCTGTCTGTATTAAACAAAGAACCAGGTGTTGGGAACCTTGGGAATTTTTCTTGAAAGGCAGAGTCCTACCCATTAAGCGTCTATTAGATCTATGAGTGCAGAAAGTAAACAAATGAGAACATTGCACATAAAAGGAGTTGGAATGCTAGATGGCCACTGGCAGAAATCCCTTTTATAGAATTATGTAAAACAATTGAAGCTCATACTAATTTGAATAAAACATTTATACCTGTTCTTTCTGTGGAAAGTTGTCATAGGACACAGTCCTATAAAGGCTACCACTGTCAAAATACTGTAGGAAACAGTGAGATCTTTAAGGGGCTTATTCTGAAACCTTATAAGAAATGCTCCTTCTAAAATGAGGTTTGCAAATTAAAAAACTTCCAGGGGCCAACTGCAGAATCATAGTCATTTGTGTGCCAAGTACACATGGGTGTTCAGCCTGTTGTGAACTGTAAAACATATTTCTGCACATTCCTCATCTAGTCAACAAATATTTACTGATGGTTTACTATTTGCCACACATCTTTTCAAAAACAGAGGACCATAGTCTTAAGTAGAAATTTAAGCGCTGATTTAATGTTTAAAGAAATATAGCTGGCTCAAGCAAAATATATCTGTGAACTACCAGTTTACCATTTGTAATTCAGTACCTAGGAAATTTTTTCCCCTTAACAGATTTGTAAGTAGCTTCCTTTTTAATAACAAAACTTGTGTGTTTGTGTGTGTGCAGAAGTGCCTGTGTAGTACGTACTTGTCTGGCATCCAAGGGTAAATGTATAAACGTTATAGTAGACATGTTAACCATTACTTATTCCAGCCCTTTGTGTTACGGATCAGTCAGCATGCTTTTGGGCATAAAACAGAAAATCCAACCAATAGTGACTTAAAGAATAAGTGCATTTGCTGGGCGCGGTGGCTCATACCTGTAATCCCAGCACTCTGGGAGACTGAGGTGAGAGGATTGCCTGAGCCTAGGGATTCGAGAACAGCCTGGGCAACTTGGCGAGACCTCGTCTTTACAATAAATCAAAAAATTAGCCGGGTGTGGTGGTGCCTGTAATTCCAGCTACTTGGAAGGCTGAGGCAGAAGGATCACCTGAGCCAAGCAGGTCAAGGCTGTGGCTTTCTGGCATCTGGGTGAGACTCCTACCCGAAAAAGAAAAGAAAAAGAATAAGTGCATTTATTGGCTTATGTAACTGGAAATATAATGGTAGGATAGTGTTCTGGGTTGGTTTGTTCCATCGTTAAACATTGTCACCAAGGACCTGGCTACCTTTTTAAAAAAAAAAATTCTTTGTTTGTTTGTTTGTTTGTTTGTTTGGGAAACTCTATAGCCCAGACTAGAGTGCAGTGGCACACTCATGGCCACCGCGGCCTCCCATCTGCTGGGCTCAGGCGATCCTTCTGCCCCAACCTTCCAAGTAGCTGGAATTATGCCACCACGCCTAGCTAATTTTCAAATTTTTCTTGTAGAGGCAAGGTCTCACTGTTTCCCAGGCCAGTCTTGAACTCCTGCTCTCAAGCAATCCTTCCATGTTGGCCTCCCAAAGTCCTAGGATTATAGACATGAGCCACTGTGCCCAGAGCCCCAGCTACCTTTTAATATACCTTCTGCCGTGGCCAATGACCAGGCTCTTAAGATCCCTTTAAATTATTTTCAAACTGCATGTTAGTGTCGTTCCTTCTTCTTCGCATGTCTGTTGCTCTTGCCATACTCTTCCAGCACCTGCTGACCTACCATATTACCACGTCTTTGCCCATTTCTCCCTATTCTCAACGAGGTAAGAAAGAATTCTTTCTTAAGTGGAATAAGCAGCCATTATATGGCTGCTGTTTTCTTTCCATATAAACCTCCTTTTTTCCTTTAAAAAAACAGAAAAAGGCTTTTCATATGAATTAAATGATGTGGAACTTGACAAGTGTAGCAGATGTCCTGTAGAACAAGAAAACTTGATATAGCTGAGTCTCTGAAAATGAGTCCTGTATGATTGTAGTGGTTCTGACCCTGGATTAAGAACCCTGTTCTGACTTCTGGCCATGACAACTTTGGGTTTAGTATCTGTGAATGCACGTTTCATCTCTTTGGGACTTCATTTACCATTACATAAATGGGAATTTAAAACTCCTTTTCCAAAAAGGCCAGCGAGAATTCTGCAGAAAGTATATATGAAAACTTCTAGGCCTCTAACCTAGAAGGCCTTAGGATAGATACTCAGTAAATATTTTACAAATTTTAACATTGAGCCATTTCTTTTTTTTTTTTTTTTTTTTTTTGAGTTCGAGTCTCACTCCATCGCCCAGACTGGAGTGCAGGGGCCGCTCCCGGCCACCACAGCCTCGACCTGCTGGGCTCCGGCGATCCTTCCGCCTCAGCCTTCCAAGTAGCTGGAAGTACAGGTGCGCACTACTATGCCCGGCTAATTTTTGATTTATTGTAGAGATGAGGTCTCGCCAAGTTGCCCAGGCGGGTCTCGAACCCACAGGCTCAGGCAGTTCACTCACCTCAGCCTCCCAAAGCACTGGATTACAGGCTGAGCCACCAAGCCCAGCTAACATTGAGCCATTTCATTTTGGCTTCATCATTTTCATTGAGACCTAGTCTTTTAAAGCTGAGCCCTGGTATTCCCTGGAGAAGACCAACTCAGATATCTTTCTGTAGCTATTATTAAACTCCGCACTAGGTGTTTATTAAAAATGATGAGGAAGTTTTCACAAGCAGTTCATGTTGGTTGACTTATGGGTCCTGAATTGTCATTCATCTAAGCTCTTATGTGGTTTATTTGGTATTTCTTTTCTTCTTTCCCTTTTTTTGAATTGGAGTCTCACTCTGTTGCCCAGACAGGAGTGCAGTGTCCTCATCTACGTGCTGGGCTTGGGCAGTCTTCTGCCTCAGCCTTGTAAGTAGCTGGAATACAGGCATGCACCACCATGCCCAGCTAATTTTTTTTTTTAAATTTTAGAGATGACGTCTTGCCGTGTTGCTCAGGATGGTCTCAAAACTCTGGGCTCAGGCAGTCCTCTCACCTCAGGTTCCCAAAGTGCTAGAATTACAGGCACAAGCCACCATGCCCAGCTCATATCCTTTTTTTATAGGGCAATGAAAAAAAAAATCATTGTGAAAAAAATATTGAAAATAATGCTCATAATTTATTATGCTGCTATACAGTTTGATAAGTCTTTTGGTCATACTTTGTGTTACTCTGTCTAGGGAGTCACAATTTTCTTTTTTAAGATGTGGGGTATAATTTAGGATTAGGAGATTTACAGCTATTATTCTCTTCTCACCAGTCAAAACAGTGGTATTGTGGCATGAAGATGTTGCTTCGTGCCAGTTACATTACAGTCATTTCAGTTTGTGTCCCAATAGAAGTTGTTAAAAGCTGCCCATTCATGAAGAAAAACTTGAAAACCACCTATTTCAAAGTGTATCTCCTTTTTTTTACCCATTATGTCTCATTCTTGGTCTGAGATGTTTTAGTTTTTAAACTTCTCTTTAGTGACAAAATAATTCCTTCAAAGAAAGCTTTTTTGTAGGTTCCCTATATAAAACAGACCAATCTGGATACCCTGATGGGTGGGCACTTTTAGAGCGGGTTTCAGAATGGGGTTATTGAATAATGGAACAAATCTCCATGGAGCTCAAAGTGGAAAATGAGTTAAATCCCTTTGTGTTTTATGTTTCTGAGTCCTTCCTTATTGCTGGTGCTCAAGTGCTAGTTTTACATGGTAGGCATTTTTCTTCCTCATTTTACTTATTAAGGGCTATGCTAACTTTTGTTCCATTCTTGCTAGCAGTCCTCAATCTTTGTGCAAAAGTTTACTTCCAGGTTGGTGAGTTGACCTTATGAAAGTCATGACATGAGTTGAATGGCTCAACACATAAGCAACAAAATTGAAGAAATCAGAGATGATTCAGGCTTTTGTGTGTGTGGTGATTTCCCCTTCTCTTGAATAACATTCCTCTCATGAGTGGTATTAAGTTCTTCTGTTCTGTAACCAACAGGAGGACTCACAAATGGCAGTGGAAGGTACATCTCTGCTGCTCCAGGTGCTGAAGCCAAATACCGCAGTGCAAGCAGCGCCTCCAGCCTCTTCAGCCCCAGCAGCACCCTGTTTTCTTCCTCTCGTTTGCGGTATGGAATGTCTGATGTCATGCCCTCTGGCAGGAGCAGGCTTTTGGAAGATTTTCGAAACAACCGGTACCCAAATTTACAACTGCGAGAGATTGCTGGACATATAATGGAATTTTCCCAAGACCAACATGGGTCCAGGTGAGCATTTGGCTTTGACATTTAAGGTAATTTAATGCCGTGAATTCCTTGCCTCAAATAGGTATATACTAAAACAAATTGTGCCTCTTAGTATGCGTGTCATTATTCATTTCAGAGGGATGTGGGTATGAGGACCACCAGAAAAACAAGTGTTCGAATAGAGCCTTCAGTAGTCTGGATTACATGCTTAATTTTTTAATCATTCTGAAAGAGTGACCTGGTGTTTGTAGTTCATAAGAATTTCCCCAAAAACTTACAATTTAAGAAACACTAACACAAAGACATATATACACCTTTGCTGCTTTAAGCATTATGAAGAATCTTCTGCTGGCATAGAGACATTACTCAAATGTAAGTTTGGATTTCAGGTGCTTAGAAATAAGACAATTCTACCACTTTCTTTTGCTGTTCTCTGTAGAAGTGACAGTCTGTATAGAGATGAGTGAAGAAACTATTAGAGAAGACTGAATTTGGCTTGGGTTGCCCCTTCTTGTTTGACTTCAAAGAAGGGGAACCTAGTCCTGGAGACAAAGCATAATTAGGGTGACATCATGCACCCTTTATTCTTATTTCCGTTTCCATTTCTGTTTTTTTCTCTGTGTCCAATACAATACATTTTAAAGAACCTACCTTCTCTTTAAGTTTTGCTAGCTTGCTGCTGGTCAAGGCTTTCTCATATTTGGAGCATGTAGGCCAGATTCAGAGGCAACATGATTTTGCTGATAATAGTCACCTGAAACGTCAGAAGATAATGAATACTGCTTCATGGGAAAATGAGTTAGAGAATATAGTAAGGACCATAAACTTTGAGTTTATTGATATGGGACTGATTTCTAAAATAAAAATCATGTAGAGTATGCCAGTGTTATGCTGGCCCCCAACCTCTTCTCTCTTTTCTCACACACGCACACCTCCCTCTTGTCTTCCATTACCCCACACAGAAATACGATTAAGAATGAAATGTATTCACATTTAAATATACTTTTAAAAACTAAGATAACTTAGGGCGTGCTTCCTCTTTTTAGAAGGTCTTCCCTTAAGTGAGCTGTTGTGATCTATTTAAATAACTTTCAGCTGATTGTGTGTATGCACATGCACACTCATACAAACCATTTCAGAACTAATAAGTGTATAAATTGAGTTACCCTTATGTCCAAGTCTTCCTTAAATGCTGTGATTGTCCTTTTTACTTTAGATTCATTCAACTGAAACTAGAACGTGCCACACCAGCTGAACGTCAGCTAGTCTTCAATGAAATCCTCCAGGCTGCTTATCAACTAATGGTGGATGTGTTTGGAAATTACGTCATTCAGAAGTTCTTTGAAGTAAGCCTTTGTTCTTGCTATTCGTTGACTTCGGAACATCTGCAGAGCATTTTGATGTTCATTAGCCTTTTTAAGGATAGCAGTCCCATTCCAGTCCTCATAATGAAATATGTGTGGTCTTTTTGATGAGTTTCTTAGTGTTTTTACAATTCATTATCAGCAGTCTGTCTGTGTGTTTTGAATACCAGAGCAGATGATGCCAGTCTATTTTGGAAATTTGTTTTGAGAACTGTTGTCCCCATTTAGAACCCAGCACGTTACAATAGTTTCACTAAACATGTCACTTTGGAGGAAATAATCCCTGTAAGGTAATTTTAGCAGGATCACAATAAAACTTTTTTTTTTTTTGAGTCGGAGTCTCACTCTTTCACCCAGACTGGAGTGCAGTGGCTCCTCCCGGCCACCGCTGCCTCGACCTGCTGGGCTCCGGCGATCCTTCCGCCTCAGCCTTCCAAGTAGCTGGAACTACAGGCGTGTGCTACTACGCCCGGCTAATTTTTTGATGTATTGTAGAGATGAGGTCTCGCCAAGTTGCCTGGGTGGATCTCGAACCCGCGGGCTCAGGCAATCCACTCGTCTCAGCCTTCCAAGGTGCGGGATTACAGGCTGAGCCACCGAGCCCAGCTATAAAACATTTTTTTAAAGATGAAATTTTAAAAAATAGTTTCTATATTCGGCATGATGGTGCATGCATGTAATCTGGGCACTGTGGGAGGTCAAGTAGAGAGGATCGTTTGAGCCCAGGAGTTTGAGACCAGCATAGGCAATATAACGAGACTTCGGCTCTACAAAAAAACCAAAGAAAATTAACTGGGCTTGGTGGTACACTCCTGTAGTACCAGCTACTCAGAAGGCTGAGGTGGAAGGGTTACCTCAGCCCAAGAGGTCAGGGCGGCGGTGAGCTGAGACTATGTTACTGCATTCCAGCTTGGGTGACAGTGAGGCCCCAACTCAAAAATAAAAAATAAAGTTCCTAGAGAATTGCCTTTGAACCCAGTTATAGTATGTTTCATCATAAACTAGAGTTACAAGAATAGTTAAATGCTTCTTCTTGGGTGATCTTTGGCCTTGGTCCCTTATTTGACCTCTGTAAATTTGAATAATATCCATTCTTGTTATCATTGCCTTTGGACAGAGTCGTGAGATTGTTGGATTAATGTGTTTCCTCTAATAATAAAGTAAAATTTCAGAAAGGTGAGGATTTTTTTGTTTGCCATTAGAGTCCTGGTTCTCTGATGTTGAAATCTCAAGTTATAAATCCAGAATAACAGAAAATATTGAGATGAAGAATCTGGTATTGGAAAGAAAATGCTGGAACTCTGTACATTACCTGCCACAAAACAAATTTGTAAATGTCTTAAATCTTATTTTGTTGGATTTTTATGAAGATAAAAAATGACTCTGTACAGCCTTTACCTTCCCAACTTTTTTCATGGAGACTTATGTTCTTTGACCCTGGATTCTGCAGCTGTGGACTACCAATCTAAACATGACTCTTGTATTTTTTATTTAAGAGTATCTTTGCACTGCCATTTTGTCAAAATACAAAAATACATAGTTATTCAGCTTTGGTGGCTGATGCAACTTGGGGTGGCAGAGTATACAGTGGATTGTAGCTGTGTCATTTGGCTAACCTAGAGAACTTGCCTGGACCTTAGTGCTCTAGTATGGAAAATGAGAGGGTTGGACAGGCTGATAATTTATAAAATCTCTTCCAGTCTCATGATTATGATGCTTAAGCAAAAATAAAGTGCTAAATAGAATTATAACCTTGTATATAGTTTTATCTCTTGATTCTACTGAAATTTCCTTCCCGACTCTGTTGCCTTGCATACATAGACAATATCAATTCTTAGAATGATAGAGAACACTCATTAAGAACAGAGTGTTCATGTGTGCGCTTTGCCTTAAATTTCGTGTAGATGAACTTTTCAGCCTCTTGGCCTTAGACACCTGAAGTGCTGTAGATTTGCTACAAGAAGTCTGTATCTTCCCCAGACATTGTCTAAAGCCCTAGAAAAGTGTCTCCCATATATGTTCTTCATTTTAAAATAAATATAAGTGCTCTTGTAATTAATCGAGTATGCATTCCTTTAATAGTATTAATGAATGGCAGCTTGAGGCATTATGTATTTGCTTAGCAGATACTAGTAATAAAACTACTGTTGTTGGGTATCTGAGAAAGTTTTTAACATTAAAAAAGGGTTCCTCATAATTAAAGACTGAAAACTAGTGGCTCGAAGAAACAAAGGCTCTTTAAATAAAAGGTTTAGTTAATCATAGGTAACAGGGCTAAAAGAGGTTATGCCAATGCTTGATGCAGAATAATGAATGCTTTGCTTTCTCTGGTTTCTTCCCTTCCACCTAAGTAATGGTGTTCACCCACACATTATGTCTAGTTTGGCAGCCTTGAACAGAAGCTGGCTTTGGCAGAACGGATTCGAGGCCATGTCCTATCATTGGCACTGCAGATGTATGGTTGCCGTGTTATCCAGAAAGCTCTTGAATTCATTCCCTCAGACCAGCAGGTAATTGTAAGTTTCCCCTTTAACTTTCTCTTGGTGTTTGATGTTTCTCCATGGTACATGTAGTGAACCCTGTAAATCTGTCACTCTTCAGTTTCTTTTACAGTTTTACTGTGGTGCTTATGGCTGCCTTTCTGTGCATGGCAAGCATGAATTGTGCAATTAATTTTGTAAAGTTATAGTGGATCAAGTGTCTTGTTAAAACCAGTGGAATTCAACACTCTACCCTTTGTCAAGAACTTAGCCTTTAGTAAGTGCAATTTTACAGGTGGGTTTTTTTGTTTTCCAAGAACTAAAGCAGGTAAAATATTAGTAAGCTATCATTTTCTTCAGTCTGAGCATTCCAGGAAACCAAGCTTTCATTCATTCTACCTTCCATTTTTACTTTTCTTCGTCCCTCTTGTTCTTACATTCCTCCAGCACTTACTGGTCAGGAGCCTGCCCAGTGCAGTGCATGGCCTGGCACATTGATCTGGAGTCCACTCTGTGCCCACCACCGGTGGCACAGAGATGACTCAGACCTGCTCCCTGCCACAGAGTGCTCTCTGGTGGGAAGAGCAGTGAAGGCAGCTGTGAGCATGTGAGAGGGGCCCCTCACACTGCCCCCAGAGTCCCTGAAGAGCCGACTCTGCAAGAGAAGACAAGACTACAGAGGAGTTAGGGGAAAAGGAACAGAAATCACCATATGGGACCTGCGGCTTCAGGGCTAGTCATAGATCGGGTCCAGACAGTATTGCACAGACTACAAGGCCCAGAAAGCAAAACAGACCCTCAGGCAGGGTGTGCTGCATCTGTATTTGTGCTAGGCAGTGCTGCAAACCTCGGGGTGCTTCTGATCTGAACCCTTAGCCTTTGGGCTCTGAGCTCACTCGCCCTTCTCAACTGAGGGGTTGGTTGACCATTGTCTGGCAATGATGACCCGCTTGCCCTCACTGAGAACAGAGTTCGGTAATGAGAATCTGTTATGGACTCGAATTCTGAGCCAGACAAGACACCCACCACCTCAGTCTCACGCCAAGCCACACCAAACCAGCGATGGCAGTTGAAGGCCGGGGAAGCCCAAAGTCCTTAGAGTGGTGAGTTAATCAAGATGCTGGTGAAGCCAGAGGGAATGTTGGAGACACTCAACAGGTTTGGCATTCACTCATTCAGTGCCTAGTACTAGAGTTGAAGCATTAATAAGAAAGTTTTGTTTGTAAGTATTTACAAGCATGTGTGAAGGTATTTTTAATCATCTAATGTTCAAATCATTGTTAATTTTTTCTCGAGCCATTCTTGGATATTTGAATTTTCCCCTTAATTTTTTTAAATATGGAAGTTTCTTTTTCTTGATCATAATGCCCACTTGCATAAAGAAAGCAGAAGTATGACAGCTTCTCACATAATCTTCCCCATCATTGTCTTTTCCCATGAACATGGTAAATTGTTGATTTTTGTCTCCAGCTTCTTAAGTTATACTATTTTCTAGTTGGATGGCTACATTGTAGTAGGATTTTCTTTTCTTTCTTTTTTAAATTTTTTATTTAGCCTTCCCTTCTCTTTTCCAAGCTGTTGTTCTTTTTTAATCTTTTTCTGTGTAACTTTTTTCTGGTCATGTTTCTCTGTGGTGACTTTTTCTGAGACTGAGCTGTTCTTTCTCCTGTGGATAGTGTGCTGTTTTCTAGATGCAACTTCATCATTTTGGGTAAAATTAACTCATCTGTGGTGGAATTTCTACTACTTTTGGATCAAGAAATACTCAGGGAAACCACCTCCCCCTTATTTTGTATATTAATGTTCCTTTTATATTTTTTAAAGTGTCATTTTCTGTTTATTCTTGTGATTATATTTCCAGAATAAATTATTCTCTTCTGACGTTTGATAAATTGCTTTAGGAAAATTTTGCTGTGTCTCTTGCATTTTTTCTTTTTTTTTTTTGGTTGGGGTCTCACTGCGATTTCAAACTCCTGGGATTGGACAGTCCTTCTGCCTCGGCCTCCTGAGTAGGTGGGACTACAGGCACAATTCTCCATACCTGGCTAATTTTTAAATTTTTTTTGTAGAGACGGGGTCTTGCTCTGTTGCCCAGGCTGATCTCAAAACTCTTGGGCTCAAGCAATCCTTCCTCCTTGGCCTCCCAGAGTGCTGGGATAACAAACATGAACCACCATGCCTGGCTGTTTCTTACCTTTTGATGCTTCAGTCCATGACCTTGTAAATTTAATTTTTAAAATTAGGCAGTATCTTAGTTACTTTAGTATACTCAACATTTCAGGTATTTAAGACATCATATTTATTAATGTCACTATTTTAAAGCAACTTACAGTCTTTTAACATAAATATAGAGTCGGCACACTGGAGTCAATATAGAGATTGGAGACAGCAAGGAAATTGGTCAGGAGGTTCCAGGGCATAGCCATGATGCAGGCATGTAACTTCAAGAGACCTGAGACCTTGGGGAAAGTCTCCCATCACAATCCCGGTGTCTTTCTTTTTGTATACCCTGTCACCCTCACCGGTTCTCTGCTCACATAATTGGTTTCTGGCCAATTCCCTATACTTCCTGAGTTGGATATTTTTCATTAATTAACTGAGAGAACCGTTCTTGCAACTTTGTAGTCACTGTGGTCTGGTAGAAAGATCATAGATGTTGGAGTCACAGCCCAGGCTAGAATTCTGATTCTGTTACTTTCTATATCTATACTTTCAAATATGTGACTTAACTCTTCTCAGTGTCAGGTTCTTACATATATACCAATATAGTGGGTGTGCAGGGTAATGAAGTTGACAGTTTGGGGTCCTTACATACTGATTTACCATACTATTCAGCCAGATTGCTTGGGTTTGAATCTTGGCATTCGAGGTCTGTGATTTTGAAAGTCTTGTTTTGGTTTTCCCATTTATATTACCTACTACATATAATTGTTAGGAGTATTCTATGAGTTAAAAACATATTATGAACCGGGCTCAGTGGCTCAGCCTGTAATCCCGTGCCTTTGGGAGGCTGAGGTGAGTGGATTGCCTGAGCCCGCGGGTTCGAGACCCGCCTGGGCAACTTGGCGAGACCTCATCTCTACAATAAATCAAAAAATCATCTGGGCGTGGTAGTGCATGCCTGTAATTCCGGCTACTTGGAAGACTGAGGTGAAAGGATCGCCGGAGCCCAGCAGGTTGAGGCTGCGATGACTGGGAGTGGCCACTGCACTCCAGTCTGGGTGACAGAGTGAGACTCCAACTAAAAAAATAAAAATAAAAAAAAAATAAAATAAAATAAAAACATGTTATACATTTAGACATATGCCTGATCTTGGGGTAACCGCTAGTTTAACCACTGTCATTACTATCATACTTATTAGGGTTGTCGTAAAAAAAATATGATGAATCGCATGTGAAATTTTTTAATACAATGTGCATATAATTCCTGATACAGGGTTTTTTGACTTTACAATGGTACAGAAGCCAAGTAGGCATTTAGTAGAAACTGTATTTCATGTTTTGAATTTTGATCTTTTCTTATTTTTATTTTTTAATGTTATAATGCTTTTATTATAAAATGGGCTTTGTGTTAGATGATTTTATTCAAGTATAGGCTAATGTAAGTGTTCTGAGCAGGTTTAAGGTAGTCTCAGCTAAGCTATGATGTTCTGTAGATTCAATGCTTTAAGTGCATTTTTCCCTGATATCTTCAATTTATGGTGAGTTTATCAGGATATAACCCTATCAGAAGTTGAAGAGAATCTGTACTTGATATTATTTCTTTTTACTTGAAGATGACTGCATTTTTTTAAAGCTGCAAAAGGTCTTTTACAAGTTAGAGACCTTTTTGAGTACTGGTATTATTATGGGAAGTTTGTTGTAAATTTTATTGTAGAGTAAATTTGCCAACACTTGGAAAAACTAAATTCCTCATTTGTTTCCATGTTGTCGTTGTGCCGTGGTTGAGTTGTTCCACTTTCATTATCATGGATTCCTTGTTCAGTGCTTTTATGTTTGATAAGGAGATCATCGACTGTCTGGGTGTTGGCTTGCTGTGATTCTGGTGATGCTTTCTGACTTTGTCTCCAATAGAATGAAATGGTTCGAGAACTAGATGGCCATGTCCTCAAGTGTGTGAAAGACCAGAATGGCAATCATGTGGTTCAGAAATGCATCGAATGCGTACAACCCCAGTCTTTGCAGTTCATCATCGATGCGTTTAAGGGACAGGTAAGTAACATAGGAAGGAAATAATGGAAACAAATTGATGATTCTTTCCTCTGTGAGTAGCAAACAGGATAGGATGTATGACATGTTCTCTATGTGCTTAATGTATTTTAGACTGCAGTCAAAAGCAGTCATGCATGGTGCTGTCAAGTACCTAGCTCTGCATTGCCCATTCTCTTCCCTTACCTGTCGGGGGCCTTCTCTTCATCATTAATTCAGATATCTGCTCACATTGAAATGAAACACTGTCATCAGAGTTGTTAAGATAAAATCTCATATTTGAAGAATAAATATTTTCCTTTGGTTAAGTACTATCCTGATATTCAAAAGCTCTTATCACTTATTAAAAATTCATTTATAAAACTAATTCATTTATAAAACTAAAGTTGAACATCATGTGTGAATATATCTTTAAAATAACAAAGTGCTTCTTGCTTAAATTATTTTGAAGGGGATGTGAATCAGGTTGGTTTGAACTGTATTAAAAGTGGCCACATATCCAGAGATAGTATACTGTTGAAGTATACAGTTGTAAACATAAGGCTACATGTATGAAATCATACATAAAGCACTTACTGCAATGACTGACACTTGGTAAGCATCCTGTGTCAGCAGCTGTTGTTGCTCTTATCCTCATTATTGTTCTTGATTAATTAAAGATCTGAGGTGTATGTCATTCAGCACAGAAAGGCAGAATCAGGGTGGTGTCAATCTAAAGCCTATGTGCTTTTCTGTGGCTCCAAACCTAACAAAAGAGGAATCTTTTTTTATTGCTGAGAAACACAGATTCAGAATACTACATTTGTAATCTTTGTGGCCATGTGAAAGCATGTAGGATTTGATCCTAGTCCTTTTTCTATTTTTAACTCTATCCTTTGGAGAGGCTGGCAGTAGACACTCTTGACACTTAAATTTAAGTGTGTTTGTCGTGATGTTGAGTAATTCTCTGTTCCTTTCTAGGCTTCTTGGAAAAAATCCCTTTCAACTTTGACTTTATGCATGTCTGTGAATTCCTAAGAGAGTTATGTAATGGATTTATTTATACACACGCACACACACACACACACACACACACACACACACACACACACACACCCCTCTTATCATTTATAAAGAGAAGTTAAATTAGTCTGTTTATGAAGATCAGGGAGATAAAATCATAATACTGAAGCACTGAAAGTCCTGACTATTATTGTTTTTGCTTTTCTTATTTGTGTTGGTCTGCCCTAGGTGTTTGCTTTGTCCACACATCCTTATGGCTGCCGAGTGATTCAGAGAATTCTGGAGCACTGTCTCCCTGACCAGACACTCCCTATTTTAGAGGAGCTTCACCAGCACACAGAGCAACTTGTACAGGTAGTAGAGTTGCCAGTAGAGGAACCACAAACACCTGTGGGCTCATGGAGGCCCATAGTTTGTGTGTTGTTGTGTCAGCATAGGTTCCGGAAGAGGTTAATGTGTTTAAAATGCTCATTGAGTCTTTGGGGCATTATTTTCATTTAGAGCATCCTGGTTTGTGTTTTTTGAATACTGGGAGTAAAGAGAGCACTGGCCTTGGAGTCAGGAGATCTGCCTTCCAGAACTCTGTTGTAGACTAGTGGTGTCATCTCAGATAGACATTTAATCCCTCTGGTCTCAATTTCGTCATTATCAAATGAACTAAGTGGATTGGCTGAATTCTTTTTTTGGCTGTGCTACTTTCTCTGCTTCTACCATTGATTAAGTAGGTGTGCCTGTTTTGTTTGACATGATTGTTGCCCGTTTTTTTCATATAGATAGGTGCAGTAAGCCATCTGCACATGTTTTTAGAAAAATAACTCTTTACTCCCATAATAGCTTCTCCCTTTTTAATAATGCACATGGGCCTACTTTTTTGTATACAGTAATTTATGATGAGCTCAACTAGGCCTTTTGGACATAAATAGACATGTACAGATATTATCTTGTCTAGTAATAATCTGCTCCTATTTTGTAATAATAGGGAAAAAATGTTTTTCTGTCCATTTTGTGTGTTCATTAGTATTCATGTAAGCCATCATGGTGCTAAAAGAAAGATGGGTGTTAATTAGATGTAAGGAGTTAGGTAACCCACAGAACTGGTTTTTACATAGAAATGTTATTGTTGCTTCTCAAACAGGATCAATATGGAAATTATGTCATCCAGCATGTATTGGAGCATGGTCGTCCTGAGGATAAAAGCAAAATTGTAGCAGAAATCCGAGGCAACGTACTTGTATTGAGTCAGCACAAATTTGCAAGGTATGTGCTTTGAGTTACACAGACTATTTCCCAGAATAGTGGATTAATAGTATTTCAGCTATAGCAAGAAAGATTGACCTGTCACTCTCTTTTTAAAGTGTTTCTTTTTTTCAAAGTATACGTTGCTTAAAGAAGTTAAATATTTGTACTAAGTTTAAACCATAGGAAGTCCCTTAGTGCAGCAGTCCCCAACCCTTTTGGCATCAGGGACTGGTTTTGTGAAAGGTAATTTTTCTACAGATGGTGTTGTGGCATCAAGAGGCATTAGATTCTCATAAGGAGTACACAGCCTAGATTCCTTGCTTGAGCAGTTCACAGTAGGGTCGGTGCTCTTACAGGAATCTAGTGCCTGATGAACACCTCCACCACATCCCTATCTCCTTCCTCTTCCCCCCGCTCCTCTCCCATGCCCTCCAAAACATCCATGGAAAAATTGTTTTCCATAGATGATCTGACAGGAAGTGGAGCTCTGCTTACCTGCCATTCACCTCCTGTTGTACAGTCTGCTTCCTGACAGGCCACAAACTGGCACCAGTCCACGGCTTGGGGGTTGGGGACCCCTGCCTTAGTGAGCTTCTTACTTGCCTAGCATCAGCCACTTTGAAGTCTGGGAAGTATGTTTCTAAAGAATATAGGTGCTCCACTTTGATGAACTGAATATTTTATGAACTAACTTGTTTCGGATTGAAAAATGTTATTTACTCAGGTACCTTTTTGGCATCTGACAGGAGGCAGTTTACCATATCTATGTGTAGGCCATAGTATTCTTAGAATCTCTTTCCCAGTCTTCATATTTTACAAGCTCAAGAATGAAATTCATTAGTTATTCCCAGGTTGTATAAAGTGTTGTAGATAACTTACAAGTAGCAGAGATTGAAGAAGAAATCGATGGCCCCTCTTAGTCATATGTCCTGCTGTTCATATAGCATATTACTTGGTTTTTGCAATATTTTCTTCCCTAATTTTTAGAATAAATTGCAAGGCAGGCAGGATTCGTACAATCCTAATGTTTTTAAATTGTTCGTTTTAAATGTGTGAAATCTTGCCATTGCTTTGCTAAGCCATGGTCTAAGCCATGGTCTGACCATGTGGTTCCTTGAGCCCTTGTCGCCATGTTTCCTAGTTTTGGCCCTCTCCTCTACCTTGGGGAGGTGATTCTCCTTTCTCTCTCTCTCTCTAATTTACTTTCTAAATAAACTATGTTTTCTATATAAAAATAATAATAATAAAAATGTGTGAAACATTTCATATCATGGAAAATAGAGAAAAGAAATAAAGTACCTATAGATGCACTGTCTCAAGTAGCCTGGCCATGTTAGAGTCATCTCTTAAGACTTTGTAATATTTTCTTCTTTTGTTTTTTGTTTTTTCCCTTTAAGCCAGTTGACAGGACCAAGGAAGCAAGGACCTGAATCTCTTAGTTTTTGAATTTTTTTTTAGAGGTAGGGTTCTAGCAGTGTTGCCCAGGCTGGAATGAGTAACACGACCATAGCACACTGCAGCTTTGAATCTTCTAGGCTCTAGCGATCCCCTTCCCTTAGCCTCCTGAGTAGCTGGGTCTATAGACACACACCATCACTCCTGGCTACAGCAATTACAGTTAATGACAGAGTAGCTACTCTGGGCCCAGTCCTCCGAGTCACAGCACCTATAAACTATGGACAAAAATGTAAGAACTAACTACCTGAAAGGCACTAGAGAGAAACCAAAAGGCAGTGGATTCCAGAGAGGCAGGGGTTCATATTTGGAAGAAAAGAATTCCCTGGGGAAATTTCCTATTTTAAATGACTTTTAGCCTGTGGTCACTTGCTTGTCCGCTCGCTCCATGCTGAGCTGCTAAAACTGGAAAAGACAAACCCTAGTGTTCCCAGAGGGCAGAGTTTAGGACAACCGTGGCAAAGAGGAATCCTGGAAAGGAAGAGAGCTAGGGATGGGGAGGCCCAGTTTTAAAATCCCAAGTATGTAGCTAACCCCTGACCCACATTGACAGGGGGAGTTCTGGATGCAATCCACCTAAGGCTAAAGTAATTTACTCATGGGAGAAGTTTGCAGTTTGACTATAGGCAAATTAACTGCATTAAAAGGAGGGGAAAATGTACATCTCTTCTTTCTGGAGGAACATAACAGTACTCTTGAGTTTCTACAGCCTGTTTTGATTTTTTTTTTTTAATGTCGTGTGAACTATCCTCAAAAAGAAAATGAAAATCAATGAACAGTCCCAAGATGACCCAGATAATGGAATTAGTAGAGAAGGGTTATACAGCAGTTGTTTTTTTTGGACACAATCAGGATGCAGAGGAGAATATGCTTGTAGTGAATGAAAAGATAGGAGATATGAGAGAAATACAAATTTTATTTTCAGAAGAAAAACAACATGGAAATTTTACAATAGAAAAAATATAACATCTGAAATAAAATTTACTTAAACGGCCTTAATAGTATGTTAGAGATGACAGAAGAAAGAGCCAATAAACTTGAAAGTAGCTCAATAGAAATAGATCAGTGTTTTTCAGATGTTTTTGATGGTTACCCAGAGTACAACATAAATTTTTCATCATTCACTTTGTGTACATGGGCACCACATGTATGCATAAGCATGAGTGAAACAGTATTGCCCATGATCAACTCTGATACTACTCTATTTCATTTTTAAAAAAGAAAAGCTGGCCACAAATCACTGTGTTGATTTCACTGCCCACAACTAGGTTGGAAACCATAGTTTCAGAAACTCTAGAATAAACTTGAAAGACTGAAATCGTATCGGTCATGTATTAAGGTGGAACCCTGTGGTAAACAAGCTGATCTGCCTGCTTGCTTTCTTGGAAGGCAAGTCAGTGCTTAGACTTGAATTTTCCATTCACAAGAGTGAGTGTCCTTTCCCCAACCCAGATTAGCAGACAGGCCTATTTGGAGGCTGGCTTGAAGTAGATGAACGCAAGACTCAGCCAGCAGTCCTGAAAAGTGAGGAGTTTTTTACCTGAGCATTTGGAGATTTGATTTAGCTTCATGCTTTGTGAACCAGCTCAGCAATATCTAAACTCTATTTCTGCTAAGGGAGAATCTAGTGGCTCCGAGGACATTGTCCTCCACAGTGCCACATCTTTGCTGCGTGCTTGGATGGCATGGTCCTCTGGAGTGAAGGTGGTGTGTCAGAGGGAAGAGGCTGTTATCTTAAGTAGGGTTGATAAATCAGCATACCAGATTTTATATGTATCACATATCTTAAGAAGGAAGCTTGAAGAAACGTCTGGCAGGATAATAGTTATTAAATATTTTAGCCTGGGAATTTTGTGTTGTTTTTTTAAAAAAAGCGTTTGTATAAGCTGGGTGCAAAACCAAGTGATGCTGAGAGAGCCCTTTCAGAACTCCAGTGAACAATACTCTCCCTCAGTTGCAAAACCTCTGAAAAGAGGGAATTATTTTGGTAACAGCTATTTGGAATAACTTAAAATATCCAAAGAGCTGGGCTTTGGAACAAGGAGTAAGAGACTGTCCCTGCTGTCAGGTACTCCCCAGGCAGATACACATGTCTTTTTTCAACCCTGGCAACCAAAATTATGTTACATGGGTAGGCACTCAGTATATAAGGAAGAATGTTTAACAGAGCCATTTGCCTGTATTGTAGGTTGCCCTAGACCGTAGTTACTTCCATATCAATAGAAATTTCTCAGCAGAGGTTAAACGGCCATCTTTCGGTATTGCCAGTAAAGAGTGTTCTGCATTAGCTAGGCATAGACTCTTAAGTTCCTCTTCTACTTAAGGGTTCTAAGCAGAACCAGAGCAACTCTTCCCCTAGTTGGGAGATCTTTGCAGAGCCTCCAACCATGTTGTACCCACCCATCCACCAGATGTTCTCTCTGCCATGTATTAGGCTTGGCTCCAACAATATGAATACAAATAATATATATTTTTCTTTGACACCAACTTCATTGCCACAGAAGCACAGATGCAAAGTAGTATTGTTCTATAAAACCAAACACTAATCGCTCTGGATGGAAAATATTCATTAGCATGGCAGTGTGTAATTTAATCAGCTCTGCAGTCTCTGTGGATAGTAGGACAACTTTGATTTAATGAAACCGCTTTACTTTGTTCCTTTCCCAAGGTGATAGATTTGTGAAGTGTTTAGAGATGCTGATAGACTTTGGGGTGCTTTCTCTTCTTATACTCTAAGAGGCAGCATGTGGTAGTTGATGAAGTGCTGGGGTCCTAGATCCACTAGGTCTAGAGTCTCTGGTAATGCCAAGCTCTCTGCTTGCCAGCAGGGAGTAGACTTAAGTATGGTTTGTTCCTGGCCTCAGTGAGCTCACAGAGGCAAGGAAGGAATTGGCATATTTTGATACAGTGTTAAAAATAATAATCATTAACCAGTTGGGCTGTTAACCAGCGCTATGAACTTGTCTTTAAGTCTCATTTACCCAGGCTTGTTATCCTCTCCTGTTAGAGGGTTAAGTCCCATATCTTTGAAGTCCTGGTCTCAGACTTGATGTGCTCAAATGGCACAGGTGGAAAGTCTTACAGAGCTGGGCAGTTGGCCAATGAATGTTCCACAAATGCAGGCTCTTTCTAGCTGCCGCTCCCGAGGTCAGGGCAGAGACTGAATGTTCACAGCATGACGGGACCCTCTTCTAAGAGTTGTCCTTGATATGTTTCATTCCAGCAATGTTGTGGAGAAGTGTGTCACTCATGCCTCACGCACAGAGCGAGCTGTGCTCATCGACGAGGTGTGCACCATGAACGACGGTCCCCACAGTGCCTTATACACCATGATGAAGGACCAGTACGCCAACTATGTGGTCCAGAAGATGATCGACGTGGCAGAGCCAGGCCAGCGCAAGATTGTCATGCATAAGGTGGGCCAGGCCGGGCGGGTCTCCTTCAGAGAAAGTGTGAGAGGCCTTGGGCTCATTTCTAAATGCAAAGGAGGGTGGGCACCTTGCTGTTTTTGAGGATTTTGTCACTGCACTCTGCCCCGTGCTGTGTTCTGTTTTCCTTTTATGTGGAGTCATATTATCCCCACACATTTGCCACCTGTCCCCTGTCAGTAACCCACGGGTAAGCGAGTCTTAAGCCTAGCTGTGGTGGGTGTTTCTGTGCCTGATTGCTAGAGAACCCACTTCTCAGTCCAGCAGACCAACCTGCTTGCCTTCTTTCCTTTTCTCCCTCCCTCTTGTTCTTTCATTCCTCTAACACTTACTGGTCAAGGGCCTGCCCAGTGCAGTGCATGGCCTGGCGCATTGACCTGGAGTCCACTCTGTGCCCACCACCGGTGGCACAGAGATGACTCAGACCTGCTCCCTGCCACAGAGTGCTCTCTGGTGGGAAGAGCAGTGAAGGCAGCTGTGAGCATGTGAGAGGGGCCCCTCACACTGCCCCCAGAGTCCCTGAGGAGCGACTCTGCAAGAGAAGACAAGACTACAGAGGAGTTAGGGGAAAAGGAACAGAAATCACCATATGGGACCTGCGGCTTCAGGGCTAGTCATAGATCGGGTCCAGACAGTATTACACAGACCACAGGGCCCAGGAAGCAAAACAGACCCTCAGGCAGGGTGTGCTGCATCTGTGTTTGTGCTAGGCAGTGCTGCAAACCTCGGGGTGCTTCTGATCTGAACCCTTAGCCTTTGGGCTCTGAGCTCACTCGCCCTTCTCAACTGAGGGGTTGGTTGACCCTTGTCTGGCAATGATGACCCGCTTGCCCTCACTGAGAACAGAGTTCAGTAATGAGAATCTGTTATGGACTCGAATTCTGAGCCAGACAAGACACCCACCACCTCAGTCTCACGCCAAGCCACACCAAACCAGCGATGGCAGTTGAAGGCCGGGGAAGCCCAAAGTCCTTAGAGTGCTGAGTTAATCAAGATGCTGGTGAAGCCAGAGGGAATGTTGGAGACTTAAAGCCTGTCTGGACATTCATCCAGCAAGTCCTGATTGTGCGCTGAGCCGGTCTCCTCTACAGGGTTGTGTAGGCGAGCACAACAGTGTTGTACACAGATAGCTACAGTGACACTGGGGATATCTAAGTGGAGGGTTGTGCAGGGTGTGGCAGGGTTCAGAGAAGGCTCCCCAAGGGAGTGACTTCTGGGTAAAACCTTGAGCCTTTCCACAGAGGGGACGAGGCATGTGAAGTCTGGGAAGCAGGAGGCATGGCTGTGTATTAGAAGAAGTGAAGCAAGTTCTGCAGGGCAGGGGTAGTGGTGACAGCATTCCACCAGGTTGCAAACCGCTGTTCTGGCTCTCTGCAGTGACAAGCTAGGTGGATGCTGTTATGGTATTGAAGCCAGCAGGTGGCAATAGTTTGGGACTGAAGAGAAGCAGACAGGATGCATGCTAGAGTTGGAGGGGAGTGGTATGGTATTGCTGGCAGAGGGAGTTGAGGGAAGAGTTCCTGGAATCCCTCTTGGGTTTCTGGCACCTTCACTGGGTGGTGTCCTCTTCAGCAAAAGGGAGCACTGGGAGAAGAGCGGCTTGATTACCTGTCTCCTTTCCTTCAGTCAAACAAAAAATGGAGCTCAACAGTTTCTGTGTGTGTGTGTGTGTGTGTGTGTGTGTGTGTGTGTGTCTGTCTGTCTTGTTAGGTTCCTTTTTGGTTGGAGGAGGAGTGAGGGTTAAGGCCTAGACTCGTCAGCCAGAGAGCTGCCCAGGCTGGGGGACCCTGGACCTCAAGTTCTCAAGATAGAAACATGAGCGGTGTACACAGTCCTTCCAGTAGCCCACGTGAAAGGCGGAGCACTAGTGCATTTTTTAACAGACAAGCTTAAAGGGATTAGGCAAGTTAACTGGTTCACAGAGCTCAGAATTAGAACCAAGGACTGTGGTTACCATCAGTTTCCATGTAGGCTCTTTAGTGGGAAGGCGGTGCCTGGTGTGTGAATATATGGGTGGTTTCTGGATCTGCTCGACCCTTCCTTGCTTTGAGAACACAGCTAGGCAGACGGCATCCATCGCCTGCGTGGAATGCCCAGTCTAGAGTGCAGCCCTCAGAACGTTGGCCTGTGGATTGGAGCACGAGATGAAGTGTGAACAGGGCTGCTGGCTCTAGACCGTCTGCTGGGCGAGGATGGCAAACACAACCGCAGTGGGCAGCATGCTCTGTGAGCTCCCAGATGGAAGGAGCGCCCAGCGGGGAAGCCTCTCTTACATTTTCTGGAGCACTCAGGACTTCTTGGAGTGGATTGGCCCAGGGAGGGTAGAACCGAGGAGAGTGCCAGCTGAGGTGAACCAGAGCTTAGGGTGGGGAGGGCGAGGCCTCACAGCAGGCATCCGCGAGAGTACGTGGGAGGAAGTGCATTTCTGGGGACCCTGTGCCACCCTTCCCTTTCACCTTGGCTCCAGTGACTTTGCCATTCTGTACCACCTTTTTTCATCAGCTAAATGGGGACGATCACACCCGGCTCATAATGTTTGTCTTTTCGGTTGTCATTGTTAACTTTCTGTGATGCACTGTGACCTGGGAAGACAGGGTCAGGTGGCACTCTCAGAATTCATTGTGCCCAGTAGTAAACCTGACTTGACTGCTTAGGAGCCTGGGGGCTGTGTGTGTCCTTGCAGGGAAGCGCTGTGCAGTTGGCGCAAGGGGGGCTGTGCCTCATGTTGCTTGGGATGCATTTTCTTCATGTGCTGTCCTGGGAGTGGCCCCTGGTTCCCCAGCCTCGGAGCCCTCGCACCCTTTGTCAGCACCCAGGATGGGACCGCCCTGCTCATCCCATGGGCCCCTAATGTGCTAGAGTTCAGGCTACTTGGCTGGCTCAGCAAAGGGCATTGCTCCAAGGTGTGCATGCGTATGTGAGAGATGCAGTGCTGGGGCGTGTGTGATGCAGGAGCCCCCTGGGCTCTTCTCAGGCCGGCGTAACAGACTGTCCTTCCTCCCCAGATCCGGCCCCACATCGCGACCCTTCGCAAGTACACTTATGGCAAGCACATTCTGGCCAAGCTGGAGAAGTACTACATGAAGAATGGTGTCGACTTAGGGCCCATCTGTGGCCCCCCCAATGGCATTATCTGAGGCAATGCCACCCCGTTCCCTCATTCCCGCTGACCTCACTGGCCCACTGGCAAATCCAACCAGCAACCAGAAGTGTTCTAGTGTAGAGTCTGCAATGGGCAAGCGGTTGCTTCAGGATTTCTCCCTTCTCCAAAAAGGAATCAAACTCACGAGTGGAAAAGCCTTTGTAAATTTAATTTTATTACACATAACATGTACTAATTATTTTTTTTAATTGACTAATTGCCCTGCTGTTTTACTGGTGTATAGGATACTTGTACATAGGTAACCAATGTACATGGGAGGCCACATATTTTGTTCAATGTTGTATCTATATTCCACGTGTGGAAACTTTCAGGGTGGTTGGTTTAACAAAAAAATAGTTTAAAAAAAAAAAAAAGGTTTTTAACTCATTTGCCTGGCCGGCAAGTTTTGCAAATAGCTCTTCCCCACCTCCTCATTTTAGTAAAAAACAAAAACAAACAAAAAAACCTTGAAAAGTTGAAATTTAGTTAAATGACTCTAAACTGGCATTTAACACTGTTTATAAAAAAATATATATATGTATGTATAATGAAAAGTTTCAGAGTTGCTAAAGCTTCAGTTTATGACATTAAGTTGAAGAAACTTCTACACCTTGCTTTTGGGGAGACTCTTGCTGGAGGAGATGGGGGTCTGCTTTGTGAGGAGGAGAGGCAGGCACCCGAGTGTGTCTTAAGGCCGGGCGGGGTGAGTGAGTGTTGCCTACTGGATTTTTTTCTGTTAACTTTGAAAGGCAAAATATGATTATTTAGCATGGAAAAAAAATCCAACTCTGCTTTTGGTCTTGCTTCTATAAATATATAGTGTATACTTGGTGTAGACTTTGCATATATACAAATTTGTAGTATTTTCTTGTTTTGACGTCTAATCTGTATCTATAATGTACCCTAGTAGTCGAACATACTTTTGATTGTACAATTGTACATTTGTATACCTGTAATGTAAATGTGGAGAAGTTTGAATCAACATAAACACGTTTTTTGGTAAGAAAAGAGAATTAGCCAGCCCTGTGCATTCAGTGTATATTCTCACCTTTTATGGTCGTAGCATAGAGTGTTGTATATTGTAAATTGTAATTTCAACCAGAAGTAAATTTTTTTTTCTTTTGAAGGAATAAATGTTCTTTATACAGCCTAGTTAATGTTTAAAAAGAAAAAAATAGCTTGGTTTTATTTGTCATCTAGTCTCAAGTATGGCGAGATTCTTTCTAAATGTAATTCAAGATTCGGTTCTCACTAGTGTTTTTTCTTTTTTTTTTTATCCTAAAAAGGTAATGTTTTGCTTACTTTGTGACAGTCAAAAGGACGTGCAAAAGTTTAGCCCTGCCCGAGCTTTCCTTACAATCAGAGCCCTCTCACCTTGTAAAGTGTGAATTGCCCTTCCCTTTTGTACAGAAGATGAACTGTATTTTGCATTTTGTCTACTTGTAAGTGAATGTAACATACTGTCAATTTTCCTTGTTTGAATATAGAATTGTAACACTACACGGTGTACATTTCCAGAGCCTTGTGTATATTTCCAATGAACTTTTTTGCAAGCACACTTGTAACCATATGTGTATAATTAACAAACCTGTGTATGCTTATGCCTGGGCAACTATTTTTTGTAACTCTTGTGTAGATTGTCTCTAAACAATGTGTGATCTTTATTTTGAAAAATACAGAACTTTGGAATCTGAGTTTGTGCTGTATTTTAAACTCCCATGTTCCCTTTCCTTGCTTGTGCCTCTTTCTGCTCCTTCATTTTGTGAGGGAGGTGGGGCCACAGAGAATCAGAATATGACCGGGGTGTCAGACCACCCTGTGATCCCAGTTCCACCCAAAAAATGTGAGGTTCAGCCTGCCTGATGCCTTCAAAGGCAAGATACTCCACACAAAAACCAGGTTTCCAACTGGAGGAACCAGAACATTTCTCCTGGGACCTGCAGGCGAGGTGTGTAGGCCTCTCCTCCTGCCTCTTTTCCTCTGTCTGCACCTGCTGAGGCTCCTGAGTGGGCCTGGTGTCCTGCTCGCCCATCTCAGCCCGCAGCCTCCTCTGGGCTTGTTGCGGGAGGTTCGGCCTCAGCCATGGGCCTGGGCCCGCGCCTACAATGCCGTCCGCCCCTCTCCTGGGCTCCAAGAGGCAGCTTTGACCAAAACGCCGCTGAAACCGAGCTTGGTGCTGAAACTGCAGGTTGGGCCCAGCTGGGCAAGTGAGGTGGTAGCTCACATCAGCCCATGTGCCCGGAAGTGGAGCCTCGGGGTAGTTGCTGGAGGAGCTTCTCAGGGTCCCCTCAAGCGTAGGGGTCAGCCACTCAGGCCCTGCAGGCCCAGGAAGAAAAGGAAGCGGAGGTCATGCAGGCTTCTAGGCTGGGGCCTGATTCTGCCTCTGCAGCTGCGATCAGGGCCTTCCCCCAGCACTGTCCTGCACAGCCGTCGCGGCCCTTGCCAAGGTGGCATGGCGGGTGTTGAGAGCCTTGGCTCCATACCACTCTGCTGTGGCTTCTGTCCGAAGGACTCGGTCAGACATGGGTCCCACACAGAGTGTATTCTTGGGCAAGTTAGTTCTCTCTTTCACCAAATCCCTTGCTGGATTTGAGTGATATATCCCTGTGTAGTGTCTGGCGAAGTTATGACTGCTGAATTCAGTACCCAGCGTATGGCGTAATTAACACAATCTCTGTCAGTTTCCCCCTTAGCGTCATTCATCTGATGGCTGTGCCCAGATTTTGGTGACCAGAACAATCTTTGGTCATTCCATAGGGACGTTTACATGGTGTCATTGTGAATCGATTCTGTGCCGGGCACCCGAGGTGGTTCATGTAAGAAGATGGAACGTGTAACTTCTCAACTGTTCTTGCAACCAGCGACCCTGCAGAGAGAGTAATCATCCCTGTCTCGCGGACATGGAGACAGTCTGTTCTTGTGCCTGTGGCTTTTCTTCTTAGCTCACCACGCATGGGTGGACCTGGGGAAGACCCTTCCCTCTGCAGGCATCAGTTTCATGGAGCAGCTGAGTTCTGGGCTCTGTGTCCATCTCATCTGGCCACCGTTGCTCACTGCTACCACGTCTGCCTCGAGGATGTGATGTCTGGGCTGCCACCCACTGGGGACTTGCATTCCTGGTCTCTCTTCCAGAGTCCTTCCAGTGTGCATTCCTCCCACAGTTGGTATAATAACACTTTACCTGGTCACAGTGCGTTTCAGTTTTCAGAGCCCTTTCATACTTGGGATGGATACCTTTGGCCCTAGCTTTTAGGGAATAAGATAGGGCTGATGTTTCAGTCCTTTATACAGATGAGTTTGAGCCCCAAGCCATACAGTGAGTCAGCAACCCAGTGAAGGCTGTATTTGAGGTCTCCTGACCCAGTCCAGTGCTCTGACCATGCCAGGGTTACAGAAGTGTGACTGCGTGAGGGTGGAAACCTGTGGCTGTGTGTAGTTGCCAGCTGTAGCCACATGAGGGTGCTGCTGCCTAAAGCAAGCCTTAACAGAGGAGAAAGAGGTCCAAAGTCAGGGCTGGGATGGCTCTCCCTGGCTTGAGGGGCTCAGGAGTGGAGTTAGGAGCCCCACCCAGAGACCAGAAGTCTCACATCTGCCCGGAAACCAAGCTTTCCCCTTCTCCTCCCCCTTCCCCCAGCATCCTCAGTGCTAGGACTGGGGTGGGGCCCCTGATGTGGCTCCCAGGCCCCAGCTTTGCCCTTGACTCACTGTGTGACCTCTGGCAAGTCACTGACTCCTGGACCTTGGTTTTTCCCACTGTCACCTGGAGTGGCGCCCAGGCCTACCACAGTCTGGCATGAGGTCATGTGGGCAGGGGTGAGGGCAGCAGACCCAGGCCTCTGTAAATGCAAACCAGACCCCATGCCTCTTCTGAGTCACATCCATGGCCTGTGCGCCAAGCTTTCCAACAAACCAAACCTCTGACAGCTTCAATCCCAGCTCCACCTGACCCTAGGTGACCTTTGTCAGTTATCTGTTCTCTCTCTCTTTTTAAAAGTAGGAACTATTAGGAGGACAGAAAAGCTCCCACAACAGGAGGGGACCTGAAAGAAGTTGCCCAGTTATCTGCTCTCTTATTCCTTCTTCTCCTTCCTCATCTGTAAAATGAGGATAATGGTAGCTCTACCTCACAGGGTACATTGGAAGCCCTTGGCACAGAGCTGGGCACACAGTAAGCCATCAATAGTTATTATCATCATCACCACCTCCAATTTTCCTGCTATGTTGGGGCCCTTGGGAATTTTTACTAGGAGACAACTGGGCATTCGACCCATCAAACTGGGTGTTGGGCAGGAATAGGATTAGGACCAGTCTAGTGTACCAGCTTCAAGGCTAAGTCTGGGATCTGGATTGGAATCCAGAGGTCGAACTGGGTGTTTGATAGGAAATGGACAGTCTAGTTGGAGGCTTCGGGTAAGTACAACTGTAGGATGGAATATGATGGATTCATCAGAATCTAAGGAAGCTGGGACTCCTCTGTCTGGAACTCCGGCTCATTTTGTGTTCAGAAACTATGGAGCCAGCACCTTTGACTTTCTAGAGAAATGGGTGTGCCTCAGGCAGGTGAGTTCAAGTGGCCACAGTGGAGCAGTTTTATTTTGGAGGAATGGCTGCATTTTTTTCTTTATTTTGATAGGAATCTTGCTCTGTCACCCAGGCTGGAGTGCAGTGGCACGTTCCCAGTCACCACAGCCTTGACCTGCTGGGCTCAGATGATCCTTCCACCTCAGCCTTCCAGGTAGTTGCAACTACAGGCACGCACCACAACAACCGGTTAATTTTTTGATGTAGAGACAAGGTCTCATCAAGTTGCCCAGGCTGGTCTCAAACCCTGGACTCAGGCAATCCCCTTGCCTCCACCTCCCAAAGTGCTAGGATTATAGGCATGAGCCACCGCGCCCGGCCATGGCTGCATTTTGAAAAGGGATCCTGAAAACCTCAGAAACAATGAGACACACTTTTTGGTTGGTCCACAGAGACTTCTGAAAAGTGGTACAATTCAAACCATGACCAGCTGGGAAGGAGCCTCTACAGATGGTTTTGAACCTACTCACCTTTCTGGAGTCTTGCCTTTTCCATGTGAACATGCTCTGCACCAACTTTCTTGAAAACATGAGCTCCTTCAGTGAGCCTGGACCTTGGTTTCCCCCACTATCACCTGGAGTGGTAGCCTGGGCCTGCTATAGTCTGGCATGAGGTCATGCGAACAGAAGTGAGGGCAGCAGCCCCAGGCCTCCGTGAATGCAACCTAAGACCCTGATGCCTCTTCTGAGCCACATGCATGGCCTGTGCGCCAAGCTTTCAAACAAGCTAAATTCAAATCATGGTCTTGCACAGAACTCCAAGCTGTCATAAAAGCAGGCACCTGTGACTCATGGGAAAGCCTGGCTTTGTCCTCAGTTACTCTCCTGAAGCTCAGTCCACAGTCTCAGTGAGACTAGTTCCTGGTGACAGACATGTACACCCAACACTCTTGGAGAAAACAGAACAGTCTTCGAGGTGTTTAGATCTTTAAAATTCAGGCTTCAGGTAAACAACTCATCAGAAGAAAAAAAAGGGGGGGGGGACTTTTTAGAATTAAGCTGGCAAGCTGGGCTCGGTGGCTCAGCCTGTAATCCTGCGCTTTGGGAGGCTGAGGTGAGTGGATTGCCTGAGCCCGCAGGTTCAAGACCTGTCTGGGCAACTTGGCGAGACCTCATCTCTACAATAAATCAAAAATTAGCCAGGCATGGTAGTGCGTGCCTGTAGTTCCAGCTGCTTAGAAGGCTGAGGTGGAAGGATTGCTGGAGCCCAGCAGGTCGAGGCTGCGGTGGCCGGGAGTGGCCACTGCACTCCAGTCTGGGCGACAGAGTGAGACTCCAACTCAAAAAAAAAAGAAAGAAAGAAAGAAAGAAAGAAACTGGCAAATGAAAAAATCCTGAAAGTCTTTTCCACAAATATTTTAAAAAGACATTTGAACAGATAGCTGTCAAGAACAATTTATACCCAGTGAGGGAGTTTTCATTGTGCCTAACACAACATGGCTAGCACTTCAGAGCAGAAGCCATGAATCTCTGTCAGCATGTTTATACATGTCTACATATGTGTGCTATTTATTTGTAATGTTATATGTAGTAGTGTTTTATCTCTAAATGGTATTATTAGAAATAATATTAAAGCTGTATTTAGCTAACCTCGAGGAAAACAAGCATTCACATAAATTATAAAGCCACTCACCCAAAGGCTTTTCAAGTCCACATAACTTGAATAATCTATAATAAGTAGGAATATTGGTGATTTAGTAAAAATTATAATTTGCTTAGCGTCATTAGTCAAATAAACTCATGTTATCTATGTTACAAAATTTGTCAACAAGAAAAATAACCAAGCCCAATAATCCTAGCACTTTGGGAGGCCGAGGCAGGAGGATTGCTTGAGTCTAGGGTTTGGACCAGCTTGGGCAACATAACGAGACCTTGTCTCTACTAAAAATAAGAATAAATAGCCCAAGTGTGGTGGCGTGTGCCTGTCATTCCAGTTATTTGGGAGGCTGAGGAAGGAGGATCACCTGAGCCCAGGAGGTCAAAGCTGTGATGAGTCATGATCATGCCACTGCACTCTAGCCCGGGCAACGGAATGAGACCCTGACTCAAAACAGAAAGAAAGAAAAAAAAAATCTGAGTTGACAAGTAGTTTTGTTTGATGTTATGTCTGCTTG